AGTTTGAGATGAAGAAATGGCTTGCTTTCTGTTATCTTTCTTTTTTCTCAGTAGCAACAGTGAGGAATCCATACTGTTCTTTAAACTTTAGTCCTGGCCCAGTCATTTTGTAAGCATCTGGGTTCGTAATTGTTTGATTCAGCCAAGTATTTGGTGACCAGGCTGACAAGAGAGCGGAGAAGGACACAGTTTGCTGGGCTAAAACTCCCTGTAACTTTTTTGCCACTAATGATCTTTCTCTTCATCCTTGTTTTCCCCTGAAGGCAAAGCTGTTGTCATAAAATAGGGCAATGACCCCTTAGGCTTTTTTTAAATCCAGTTTTGAATCACATATTTAAATCCATCTGCCAGTGTTTTAAAATATTACTTTAATGTTTCGAAGAACTCTAACAACTAATCATAACCAACCAAAATGCAAGAAAAGGCAAAAGCCCTCACACTGAAGCTGGACAAGGTAATACTACAGAAGGAAGTGAGTTGCAAAGACACACCCACGCCCACAGTTAAAAATTCCACAAAAACATCAAGCTTACAGTCACAACGTGCATGCAGAGGACAGGTGCAGACCCTTGCAGGGCCTGATCTTGTCATGTAAAGCATTTGACCACATACACTCGCATGCAAATGTACATGTGTACACCTGCATGTACTGGGGTAGTGACGTCTTGGTAAGGGACGAAGGAAAATTTAAACTAGAAATTTTAGCGGATTTCAACAAAAATTATCCTTTGGCCAGATCTCTGCCGTTACCAGCTTTGCCAAAGGCATTTGGATTGAGGAGAGCAAGACTTACAGAGGGCTGCGCAGCCTGGGAAAACCGAGATGAAAATAATTTACCCAATCACTAGACAAAGTCTTCACAGTTTGTGACACTGTCTTTCAAAAAGACTCTACGACCTTTTTCCCCCATGAAGTAGAGGGGGTTGGTCAGGGCCACAGCTGTTTGAAGTCTGTTGTTAGGGCTATGGACTATCCCATGAAGACATGTGTTCTACTGAAGACTTTTGTTGTTGTTGTTTCAAGATAGGGTTTCACTGTAGTTTTTTAGAGCCTGTTCTGGAACTAGCTCTTGTAGACCAGACCAGACTGGCCTCGAAGTCAGAGATCCACCTGCCTCTGCCTCCTGAGTGCTGGGATTAAAGGTGTGTGCCACCACCACCTGGCTCTACTGAAGTTTTAATCCCTAGTGCTCTCTTCAGAGGTGGCGTTCTGAGGATGTGATTGGATTTGTGGGCTCCTACCTACTTAATTAATTAATCTGCTATTAATCCATGACTTGATGATCCTAGTGGAAGGTGGGAGAAACCAGGAGTAGCACCAAGCGACCTGGTGTTAGTCCAAGCCCCTCCCTGGACCACCATGTGTGCATAGCTCCACTTATTTAGACTTAAAAGTGAAGAAACTCCTGAATCTGAGAACCAGATAACCATCCTCTCGATTAAATCATTTCCCTCAGGGATTTTGTCATAGGATAGAAAGCATCCTATCAATATTAAATGTCACTAAAGCACAGGGGTTCTGATGATAGCAACAAGTTATGTAGCTTCTCTCAAATTGCAACCTCTAGTATTTGATTTACTTAAGTTTTAAATGAAGACGACGATAGATTTTCTATAATATTGAAGTCAGATTATAAGATATAATGAAATACTAGGGGCTGGATGGTTGAAACAGCAAACATTTATTTGTTGTGGTTCTGGAAGTCAGATAATTCAGGGTGCTGGCATACTTTATACCTCATAGAGGCATTAGGACTGACATCTCCTTGTTATAACTTCACATTGCCTTGCTTGCCAGAGGGTTTGTAGTTCATGTCTGATATAATTTATATTTGATTAGAAAGCTTGAAAGTCTCTCCCTCCGCAATCCTTTCCTCTTTCTGTTGTGTGTTGGGTACTGAACCCAGGGCAGTGCAACATATACCTAGGCAAGTGCTCTACCACTGAGACACACCCCTAGCCCAACTCTCCATTAGTTTCAATTCTTCAGGTGTGAAGATAGGTAGAGACAAACATGGCTTCAGCCAATCACCTAGTTTGTAGGGCAGGGTCCCCTGAAGATATTTTTTACTAATAAATATTGCTGGTGTGCTCCCCCCTTCCCTTCTGCTTTCCTGGTCTACGCAGGATGCTTGGGTTCTGTAAGTCTTTTCCTAATTAAAGCTGAATATTTTATTATAATTTCTGTCTGCCTTCATTTACGCCGCTACAGCTTGTGTGTATGTGTGAGAACATGTGTGCACGTGGACAGACATGTGGCCAAGTGAATACATAGTCCTTGATTATCTCCTTCACCTCTTAGGCTCTGTGTCCTTGACAATTGAGGCTAACATACTACTTTGAAATTTGGGATTGATTTTACTTAAATAAATTTTTTATGTCGATGAAACCAAAACCTATCTAAGCTTAACAAAAGTGCCCCTTGAATATCAATAATATTTTCAATTAAATGTATTGGCAAGAAAAAAGACTACGTGCTTGCCACACTCTTCAACTCTCATACTCTGTTGGCATCTATGATATGAAATATAAAACATATCCTAAAACAGTCAATATTTATATTTTATAGGAATTATCATTGTTTTTCTCTGCAAGGTTAAGGGCTAAAGTGAAATATAAATTCAAGCCTCTTATTATGTAGCCTGAAATGTTCAGGACAAAAATTCCTTTGACCTGTGGGAAAGTACCATTGATAGAGTGCTTCAATGTTGATTTTTCAGCGCAATGAGCTAGATTTGCATGAATCCTAACCCTTAGTTTAAGATCCTGGTAGTCATGTCTTCCCATAGGCACCAGCTCAAATAGCACTTGCCACAGCTTCAGAGACTTTGAAGAGGAGACAAGAGGTTCCTTGTAGGCAGCATGGGGTTCATTCTGTTTAGGGGAATTTAAGCTTCAGAAGGCAAAGGGCAGCTCTGAATGCTTATGAGGACTAAAACAAGATCTAGACATGATTCATGACTGATGTAATTGATAAGTAACCTATAGAGGTGGACAGAAAAAAAGGACTGTGTCTTCTGAGAACTTTGAAGGGATTCTCTTTAAACACCACTCAGAAGGTACTCCAGGGGAGAGAACTTATTCCTGCACTTTGGGGTGGTTTTTATATTCAAGGAAGGGATTCTAAAGTATATTCCTAGAAAGTGACTCTATCTGAGTTCTTGTAAATGATCCAACTTCTAGCCCTTCAAAGAGAGCTAGTGGGAAAGGAATAAAATGTCAGAAAAACAAGTGTTTTCTATGATAAAGCCATCCTGCAACCCTCATCACCGCCGCAGACACTTTGAATGTGCTATACCTTGGACTGTAATTGCTTTTTGATTAGTGTGAACAAGGTCTCACATCCATAGACTCACTATTGATTTTGTAATTCAGAGTAATTTCTTACATTTATGTACTTACCATCTAAGAGGAAACCCAAGTCCTTCAGTATTGAGGAATTGCAATTTATCTGCAAACTCCCTGGCTCAATGCAAAACTTGGGTGTTTCAATTGCATTTTAAGGAAGAAAGAGAAAGTCAGGCAGACTAACTCACTGGCTGTGATTAATTCTGGAAGCTAATAATAGAAGCACCAATTAAAACATAGTCATCTTGACTTGTAATTCCAGCTGTTCCCTGTAAATAACTGGTTGGTTGGGTCAACTTCTGTCATTCCTTCAGGAAAAGGAGCTTCATCATTGATTATCCTCACGATGGACAGAGCATGTTTTTCCTGCTATTTGAGACATGAAGGACTTGGCCTTGAAGATGTGCTTATGTACCAGGTCACACACATTTTTAGTGGGCCTGTAAATGTCCCGGCGAGCTGTTAAGTCACATATACAAGAAACTTTTCTTCTGCTAAGGGGGCAATGTGAACGAATAAAAGTCTGACTTCTTTTTTCAAGGTCTAGATATGTTCATCACCTGCTTGGCATTGTTTTCACTGATAAATGTATGGAAGGGATGGAGAGAGGAGGAAGAGAAAAGAGAAGGTCAAAAGGAAGAAAAGAAGGAAGGGAGGGAGAGGGGGAAAGAGAGGAAGGGGCTGGCAATTTTCTCGAGACAAGCATACTCTCAACCCCCACTTGCTGAGTGTCTGGTAAATCAGAGCTCTTTTAATCCCTCATTCTTTCAAACTTAAAGTCCCTGGGCTGATTTGTGCCCTTTTCTGTTACTTCAACTCCAACTATTTCCTTCTGTGAAGACTCCTTTTTCTTCCTTTTCCTTCTGTAGTCTAGTTATGACTTTGACTTCTCTGCTTTTCAAGGTTAAGGTAGCAAATCTTTGTTTCCCTAAAGTTTTCAATAAATGTTCGAATACTTATAAATTATCTATTATCTGGGAAATTTGAATTACTCAGGTGCAAAAGTACTCAGAATGACAGTTGATTATGTGTCCTTATTTATTTATGTGAAGTATAATTCAAAGGACTTTTATAAGGTCCCCTAGTCTCACTTTTTCATATTTTTATACATTGATCACATATCTCTACTAAGAAAAAAAGTTCAGTGCTCTTCACTTGAATCATGCTGTGAGAAGGGTCCATTTCCTCCCACTGTGATTTTGACATTTTTATTATGGTTTCAAGACATCCATGGTTGTGTCATCTGTCGCTTTAAGAGCAGGGAAATGGTGGTGACCCTCATATCTACCTCTTAGATGGCCCATTCAATCCCAGTTAATAACGTGCTGAATGATACACAGTTGGCACAATGTCAAGTTTAAAAAATGAACCCAATGATCAAAAGCAATGTGATCCTTCTCTGTGTACTCTGAGCTAGGATGTTGGAAAACATTTATATTAATGACAGTTAAACTCACCACGTGTTACTGAGTTATCTCTAAATAATGAGCACCTCTACCTATCATGGAGTAGTTTGCTTGTAGCTACCCCATTCCTAAGAGTGCTGTGTTCTCTGATATGATGGGGAACAGATAAGTCTATTTTTTAATTCCTTTACACAAGATAATGCTTCCAACATTTTGCCAATAGTTATTTTCTTTCTTTGAATTTTAGGCCTCATTGTCCATGAAGGAGCTGCAGTTTACAGAGTATTCAAGCGATGGCGAGCTGTCAACTTGCACTGGGATGTATTAAATTACGACAAAGCCACAGACATTGAAGAGAGCAGCCGAGGAGACTCTTCCACAAGTAGGACTTTGTGGTTACCATTGTCAGCCCTGAGGAACAGGAACTTGGTCCACCCCACGCAGTTAACCTCACCACGGTTTCAGTGTGGCTATGTGCTATTACATCTATTCAATCGGATGCGGGCCCATGAAGATGGGTCAGAAGACAATGGCTCTGGGGAGGTGGTAATGAGAGTGACGTCCGTGTGACAGATACACGCAGCAGCAGAGAGTGGAACCTGCACATTTCGGAATGTAATTGCAATGAATGGCAAAACCATAGCACTTCTAATCGTACATCCATGGACTTTTTAAAATCTATGCTTTTTATATATGAACATTTGAATTGCAAATACATTTTTCTGAGAAAAAAAGAGGCTCCTTGTTTGCTTTGTGACTTAACACATCGTTTTAAAGTTAGCTCTCAATTTTGAATGTAGTATGCTTTTCTTTAGACCTGTTTGTAGGTACTGGTGTAGTACCTACACACTGTTAGCAGGATGGACTGAGGCCCTGGAGGTAAGAAATGAGCAACTATAGTCCTGCATCACACATGGCAGTTCCAGGTGAGCTAAGAGATGCAGCAGTCTGGAGGGGTGGGGGTGTGGAAGAGTTGTCCTTGGGGCATCAGGAGAGGTTGTCCCTGGGATACCACGGAACCTGGCTCCTCAAGCCTGGGCGGTCATTTGAAAATCAGAAGAGGAGGTGGAGAGAACACTTTAGGAAGAAGGGGACATGTTGCAGAAGTGAGGGCACTGTGTGTAGGGAAATGGGGCGTGCAAGGCAAGACAGGTTCCCTCCTCACAAGGGTGACATCAGAGTATGGGACTGAAAACCACAAAGATGCATCAGCAAGCACTAAGACTTGCAAGCCCAGGTCTGGGGCATGAGTGTGTCTTCTGCTTCCACTGGATCAGGTAATGTACAACAACAGAGACACCAGAGCATCCCCCAGACAGCCATGTATCCTTTCCCTCTTCTCAGGAGACATCAAAACCATGATTTCAGAAAGGAAGGCTGATCACAGTCTCATGAAATAGAAGACGGCTTCTTCATTAACAAAAGCTTCTAAACACTTCAGAGTAATTACAGCTTGTCATCTGATATTTCTTTAAATAATAATAAAATTTAATTTTTATATGTTGCACTAACTAAATATATGGCAGAATAGTTAGATTTTTAACTCACTGGTAGAGTTTTTATCTCACACTGGTCCTAACACACACACAGAGAGAGAGAGAGAGAGAGAGAGAGAGAGAGAGAGAGAGAGAGAGATCACCATAGTAAATCAAGTGCCTGCTTCTGCATCACCACCTGTGTTCTCCAACCCCTTGCTTTTGCTCCATTAGAGCCCAATTGTTCTTTCCAATCCCTGCCATCATATCTCAGAATTAGTGACACCATTTTGTTGTTGTTATGATGCCTAAATATTCTTCCCTTTCCTGAGGAGTTAAACAAAACAAATTTGATTTTGGCCCCAAATGTAACAATTACCTGTGATGTAGCAATTAATGTGTCATTTATAAAACACACATTAGGGGATGGAAAAATGGCTCAGAAATAAAGAACACTTGCTGCTCTTGCAGAGGATCTTGGGTTATTTCACACACACACCCCCCCCATATGACGTGTCACAGTAGGCCAAGTTCTAGGATCTTACCATGGTACTTTACACAATTAGCTTAATTCTTATCAGTTCAAGAAAACAGATACCATCATGTAAGCAAGTGCTGTAGTTTGCAGTAACCCTGAGAGTTCTGATCCCAGGGGTGTTTGGACATTAAACCCACACCTCCACAGCTGCTATTGATCTTGTTAATTAGCCAAGGCTAACAAGGTTGTTTTAAACAACACTGTCCTAAAAACTACAGATCACTTGGAGCACGTGGGAGATTGAGAGTAATAAGTAATTCCCTCTCGAGTCTTCATGATATGACTTTTCTAAAAGTGTAAACCTTACTCTAAAACATTTTATATACACTTTTCCAAACAAGCCAGCAGTATCTGCATGTTTTCAATTTCTCCTATTTGCAAACGTTTTCTGTTTGCAAAATGACTTTCCCTTTCTAACACCACAAGAGAAAACAGAAAGCTGTGCCCTGAGATGATCTCTGTCCCTCTCTGTCTCTCTGTGTGAGAGAGAGAGGAGGGGGGAGGAGAGAGGGGGAAGAATATGAATGAGAATTTCACAAAGTCAACAGAAATACTGAAAAATACAAATGCCAAGGTCAAAAGGACTGCTTCTAAATAGAAGACCTCAAGAGTTACCAGGTGTGGCTGAAAAGTAAAATCAAGACCAAGAAAGTGAACCAAAGGTTAGGAGTAACAAAGCTTTGGTTCTTTGGACAGAAAGATTCCAGTGAAATTTCAGGTAAAGGAAAAGTCCGTGGACTAATCACAAAACACAGTGCAGAGCAGAAGGCAGCTGTTCTTTCAAAGCAGAGCTTCCTTCTCCCGCTCCCGTTCTTTTCCCATCCTCGTCCCCTTTGCTTCTCTTCACTCCAGACGTGATATCCGTGTTCTTGGGTAAGTAGTAAAGAGTTGGACTGCCTATGGTGTGACTGACAAACCAAGACTGCAGAATTTCAGGGAGATGCTCTTTATACAGGCTTCCGACAGAGAGCTCAGAGCAAGGCCTTTCTGTGCACACTTAAGCCTTAATTCCAATAGGAGGGAAAGCTAGCGACCACTAAATAACGGAGCTTTGTGAAAGTCAATTAGGGATCCTCTGCCTGACATCTCCTGTTTGTCTTCTCTTTTCTCAGTCTGTTACTAAATAGTGTTGAGAATTTTATACATGTGTATAATGTTTTGATCAAATTCACCCGTTCCCTCCCTTTTAGTCCCTCCCCATCCCCCATACCACTATTACCTCCCACCTTCAAATGTTCTTTTTAAAAATTCCACTGAGTCAACTTAGTGCAGCCTGCATGTGCATATGTCAGAGCCATCTACTGGAGCATGGGCAGCCTCTATAGGCTGCATTCCTGAAGAGAACCGACTCCCTCCCCCAGCAGCCGTCAGTCACCAGTGACTCCTCAGCTAGGGGTGTGACTTCACGACTTCTTGTGCCATCCATACTGGATTTTGATTGGCTTGACTTTGCACAAATTTCTTACATGCAGTAAGAGACAAGGCACCTTACACTCCCTCTAGCCAAACCAAAACTCTGTCTCTCTTTAAAATCCTGAGTTCCTGCTGCCTCTGTAATAGGAATTATGTTATTTTTAATTTATTTATTTAGTTTTTAATTTCATTTTACATTCGAACCACAGTTCTCCCTCCCACCCCTCCTGCTGTTGTTCAGACTCCCGAAATTTGATCTCCTTACTCCACTTCTTTGTATCTACATTCAGTCAGCTCATTCCTCTTTTAAAACTCTTTCTTTTTTTAAAAAAAATATTTTTTATTATGTATACAATAGTCTGTTTGCATATATGCCTGCAGTCTAGAAGAGGGCACCAGACTTCATTACAGATAGTTGTAAGCCACCATGTGGTTGCTGGGAACTGAACTCAGGACCTTTGAAAGAGCAGGCAATGCTCCTAACTAGTGAGCCATCTCTGCAGCCCCCAGGCAGCTCATTCTTTCAGCATTTTTCTCAGATCTAATCACAGAAGACCACCTCCTTTGCTGGTCTAAGCCTCCATCTTCTCTAATAAACCTGTTACAAGAGCTCAAAAACACCAATTATTCTAAGTTGACTTGCTTCCTCCAACAATGACTGTCTAGGACATCAGAGAGTGACAGGAAATAGGCTCAATACAGCTTATTAGTGAAGATGAAGACAGAATCCATAAGCAAAAGCCCTCAGTGGCAACCAGTGTCTTTGTCAGTCAAATGGAGAGCATGCAGAGTTGCAGACATGCAGAAGGCTGCTGTGTAATTATGGAGACAGCGACTAGAATGATGCTCCTCCAAGCCAAAGAGTAGCTGCATCCTTGACAGCCCATACCAGGAAGAGGCAATGCATGCTTCTTCCTTCCAGTCTCTTAGTACACTGAGAAGCAAACCTATCATGTCAGAATGTAAACCAAGCACACTTCTCTCTATTCAAATCTTCTCTGCTGAGGTCCCATCTCACTGTCCTTGCAAAGTCCCTCAAGGACCTACTCCTTAGCCTGTCAACTCTCTACTTGCTCATTCTGGCTTGTTCTGAAACTTAAACCTGTCAAGAACATCCCTGCTATAAATTACTGGGTAGATGAAGCCCAGTGCACTCTTTCCCATATGTCCTCATGGAACCATGTTGCTGCTTTGTGTCAAGGTCTTTTCAGATTTCTGTAAAACTGGCACTATTCTCTTACTCTCTGCTTTCTGTTTTTCTCAGAGATCATTTGTCACGGAGTACAAGTTCTGTCTATCCATTCCTTACTATGTCCTTAATATGTCCTATTGTTAGTGCACAACATCCATGAGCGCTGGGCTGTATTTCATTTGCTGTTGCTCCCAAGACACCTAGAAGAAGGAAAGGTACAGACTGGGTTCTCATTACATTGTGAGGGCAATTAATAAATGAATCTGCTAGAAAAATAAAACATGGCACATAGAGTTCAGAGGAGATTATTGGAAGTTTAAAAATAAATTGATGAAGAAAAGGAAGTGCAGAAAAAAATAAAAGGATGTTATTGAACTAAAAGTATTGCCTAGAACATCAAGGGGAGAGGTGATATCCCAAAATAAGAATTCCTCAGGGCATCAAAAATGTGTATTTCTACACATTTGATTAAACATAAACTTTTGCAAAAAGTAGGTTAAACTGTGTAACAAAATATCCCTGATAAACCTGGTTATGACTTTAAACACACAGCTCTGAAATAATAATAATGTGCTGATTTTAAATCCAAGTAAAATCACCACAATGTCTTGATTGGGAGACTTGAAAGGCAGGCATCTGCTGGCCAGACCGAGAAATCTTTACTGCACACTCCTTTCAGCTGTAAGAGCTTTTGGCTATCTTCATCTTCTTTGTCACTCCCCTTCCACTTTTCCCATAGCACCACCATTATCAGCACCACAAGTCACCATTCCTGCATGACCTCAACAAAACTCTCGATGATGACCATCCTTTCGGAAGCAAGAAATAAAGTTTACCAGAAGCTAAAAAGCTTTGCTCTTTTCATGGAAGAAACCATTCAAGACTCCCCTTAGAGAAGACTTACAAACACCCTACAGGGATTCAGACCTGAAATAAAATCATAGTATTTAGAAATA